AGAGATAGAGACAATATTTCTTGAACAAAGTAGGTTGTTATCACATCAGCTTTAATTTTGTTTGAAATAATGCACCTCTATTTTGACGTAGGACTACGTCTTTAATTTCTATACTGGGGGTCACATTAAAAAACAATCCAAATTCGGACATGTTACGAGAAATCCATAACACGGACGCAACGATAGAGTGCAAATCGAACAAACAACACCTTGCGCATGCTCATATGTTCTGTTGATCGCTCACCATTTTACCAATAAAAGGAAGGAAGGAGAAAAGCACCGATAATAAAAACGCTTCCTCATCACATTCATTCGCTGCCCAACTGTTGAGCAGTACAGTCGACGTTTTGATCTAGCTCGCTTCGTTCGTTCGATTGCGTTATTTCGTTTAGTCTCGCGTTGAGTAGTGACGCTCTTGCTGACCCAGCTATGGGTAAAAAATCGCGCGGTGGTGCGAGTGCCGGCAATCCCGCTGCTTGACAACAACCGATTCTCCGTTCTGAAGGACGATGCAGAGCCGGTGACGGTAACAACAGAACCGCCGAAAAAGGACAGAATGCCGCCCTTCTACGTGAAAGGCTTCCCTCCCGGACTGCGGGAAAAAATAAACTTCTTCATCACGAAAGGCGTCCGGTGCACCATCCAGCTGTGCACGGAAGGATACAAATTGAATTTTCCTGCGTTGAACCATTACAACGCGGTTCAGATCATGCTGGACCAAGCACAGGTGGTGTACTTCTCCCACGACATCAAGGCTGTAAAGCCGCTCAAGGTGGTCCTACGAGGACTATACGACATGGACACAAGCGTCCTCTTGGAAGAGCTGGTTACTAATGGACTGAAGCCGGTCCAAATTCACAAGATGGCCCGCCACAGCAAGGCTGTCAAGTACCGTGACCAGCTATACCTGGTCCACCTTGTGAAGAACTCAACAAGTCTGAAGAACCTACTGGGCATCCGCTTCCTGTTTAACATCATGGTGAAGTGGGAGCGGTACAAGCCAGTCAGCCGCGGAGTCACCCAATGCTCAAACTGCCTGCTATTCGGGCATGGAACGAAGAATTTCCATATGGCCAGCCGCTGTCCCAAGTGTGGGAAGCAACATCAAACCGACGCCTGCGACAGACTCGATGAAGCCGATCCCATTTGTGCCAACTGCGGTGCGGCTCACAAAGCTACTAGCAAGGCCTTCCTGAAGCGCACCGAGTACATCGAGATCCGGAAGAAAAGCATCGACGAGAAACCACCCCTGCCGCAAGAAAGTGCCGGAATTTAATGACCAGCACTACCCACCGGTACCACGACGACCGATTACAGTGCTGCCATCGCTGCCACTCAATCAACGATTAGCTGCTGCTCGTGCCGCTGCTACTGCTGCGGCGACCGCCACCGCTCAAGTTCAAACTGCTGGAGTACCTGAAAACTCAGATCAAGAGACGACTGCTGCTCCACAGCCGCACGATTTCCTCACAGCCCCTGGGCTAAACAGGCGTCAGCCAGAAATCAACGATGGTTCGTGGTTCACCGCAGCGGAACTAATGATCATCTTCCTCAAGATGTACGACATTGCCAACACCATCAAGAACAAATCCGACCAGCTCCAAGCCTTGGCTACCTTCATGCTCAGTTATGGACCGTGAGCTCATCAAAATCGCAAACTGGAACGCTTGCTCGCTCAAGAGCAAAATTATCGAGTTCGTTGACTTCCTCAACGAACATAGCTTTGACATCGTCATCATCACCGAAACTAACCTGGAACCGGAGATGAACGTTTTTCTTCCTGGATTCCGGCTCGTGAGGTTGGTTCGGACAAGCTCTGGGGGTGATGGAGTGGCCATCGCTACCAGGAACAAAATCTGCTGCCGGCTGCTACCCAGATTTCAGCTGAAAATGATTGAAGCATTGGGAGTGCGGCCTATTGCCCGAAACAAGCCAACGCCATGGATGGATCCGCGGTAGACCTGCGGAGGGATATTATCAAGATAACACGACGCCGTGGAAAGTTCATCATCGCTGGTGACCTGAACGCCAAACATCAAGCTTGGGGCAACCAAAGGCGGAATCAGAACGGCACCATCCTAAACGACGACCTGCAAGAGGCGTACACCATCCTGGTGCCGGACGCTCCCACCCGGTTGAGCCGGTTCGGCGTACACTCCATCATCGATATCTTCGTCAGCAACTTGGAGAGCATCTCCCAGCCAGTAGCCCACCAAGAGTTAAGCTCGAACCACTTTCTGGTGATGGCCGAGGTGGGTTCCTCCGTTAATCGATTTCATGCTTCCCGTCAGAATTACCATCCGGTCTGGGAACGGTTCCTACAAGTCGTTGACGAAGCCATCGATTTTGGCGCCCTACTGGAGACGACTGATGACATCGATAGATCTCTGTGCGTCGTCGAGGAGGCGGTATCCCGAGCCCGCGAAAAACACGTGCCAGTTTCCAGACGGGTGAGTAATTCTCTGAACCTTGATCAGAATACTAAAAGCCTAATCAGACTCCGTAACGCCATGCGCAGGCTGTACCAGATAACCGGACTGCCTACCTTGAAGATCCATTCCCACCATCTAACCAAACTTATCAAAGCCAAAATGGTGGAACTCAGAAATGAGAATTTTGCCAATAACATCCGTTCCCTCACAGATTGTGCAAAACCCTTTTGGAAACTAAACAACAAAAGTCCTCAAAACTAAACCGAGACCTATTCCACTAAATTGTCCCGACGGTGGTTCACCTGATAACACCTGAAGAGAAGGCTGCCGCGATAGGTCAACATTTTGTCAGCTCCCACAATCTCGAACAAAACATCACCAGCCCTCACAAAGCTGAGGTTGCTGAAAATGTAACCAATCTCCACCAGGTTCCTAACATCTTTCCCGAAGCATCCGAGATCACAGCTGACGAACTGTTGGCTGATATCAAAACTTCCAAAAACATGAAGGCCCTAGTTTTCGACAAGATCCTTTATCTGAAGCTCAAGCACTTGAGTTCCAGATTCTACAACCTCTGGCACTGATTTTCAATCAGTGCCTCCGACTTGGCGACTTCCCCTTGTGCTGGAGGTTAGCTAAAGTCATCCCCATACGTAAACCTGGGAAGGATCCTTCCTCTCCTTCATGTTACCGACCCATCAGCCTTCTCTCAGGGTTATCCAAGCTGTTCGAAAGAGCAGTTTAAACCGGCTTCTAACGGCTGCGGAAGAAAACAACATCTTACTCGAGGAGCAGTTTGGTTTTCGGAAAGATCGATCAACCGTCCACCAACTGACCCGAGTAACAAACATTCTTAGACGGAACAAGGCTGTTTCAAAAACATCTGCTATGGTATTTTTAGACGTTGAAAAAGCGTTTGACAATGTCTGGCATGATGGCCTGGTGTACAAGCTGCATCGATACGGTCTTCCGATCTTCCTCATGAAGATCATACAAAATTATCTATCGGACAGGACGTTCCAGGTCTCTCTGAATGGCATGACATCGGATGCCTTTATCCTTGGGCCCATCCTGTTCAATCTATTCACCTCCGAATTTCCAACTCTCCCTGATGGTGGATCGTTGTCTCTGTTCGCAGACAAGACATCCATCGTCTACAAGGGTAGGGCCATCGGAGCTCTGACTACCAAACTCCAGAGAGGCTTGGATGTCCGGTCTGAGTATTTCAACAGCTGGAAGATCTATATCAACGTGGCGAAGACCCAGGTAGTAATTGTCCATACTCAAAATCTCCCAGACTTGTTCCGTCTGAGAATAACAAAATCTGCCTAAACGGTACAGTGGTGGAGTGGTCCAAAGAGGCAGTCTACCTCGGACTAACACGCGACAGCAAGCTGATTTTCAGGGAGCATATTGACAAAACAAAACCCGTTGTACCCGCTCTAATCAATTGGAGATCCTAAGATTACCCTATCCCTGAAAATCAAGCTTGCTGTCTACAAGCAAATAATCCTTTCCGCCATAGAGTACGGGTTGCCAATCTGGGAGAGTTGTGCACACTCTCATCACCTCAAACTACAAAGGATCCAGAACAAGATCCTGAGGATGATCCTCCACCACGTACTAGAAGTTCTGAGGTCCACCGCCTGGCTGGTCTGCAGACCTTGGCGTTACGGAGAACTGCTACCATCGAAAGGTTCAGGAATTGCTGCATGCGATCCGATCAACAGATCATAAGGGTTCTGGCACGTTAGGTTAGGCAACTAGGTTAAATAGGTAAAATATCAAATTTTCTAATTTAAATCAACAAACATGCTTTCCTTAAAAGCAAAATGTAAACTATTACAATGTAAAACTAAAATCAAACACTAACTTCTTACAGACATAATCAACAAAAATGAAGAGCTTTCGGGCTAAATCAATTGAAATGTACAATAATTGTAAACCACAAGACAATAAGTAAATAAACAAACATTTTAGTAGTAGGGTAAACGCTCCTATAGTTGCGGTACGTTAGAAGTGTTAGGTTCCTATAGTTGTGTATTGTGTATCCATGCACAACTATAGGAACCTAACGCTTCTAACGTACCGCAACTATAGGAGCGTTTCCCCTAGTAGTTTTCCTCCTCAATTGCTTTCGAGCAACGGACGGCCAAACGTCGGTCACGACTTATGAGTGGAACATCCTGCATCGACCGGAGGAAAAGCTTTCCGCAATAGGAAGTATGACTAGGCCGCCGTCATTCGGTCGGCATCGACTTGCATTGGTGTGGCCACCATTTGAAAAACAACCGGCCCTTTTCAGGGCCACTAATTCAAAAACGGAAAGAGTTAAGAACTTAATGATCAACACATTTGTTCCGTCCACTAGCGGTCCTACGTTAAGCTTCCATTCGTACTCCTTTGTTCTTTATCGGAGCGACTTTCAGCGAGTGGCTGGTTCGTCACTTAGGAAAAGTTTAGAAAAATGTAATGATTGCCAACTTGAGAGTTAATAAAACTTACATTGCTGTTTTCAAGTATCATCAAGCATCTTCAACCAATGAAAGTTGTGTGTGGTACACAATCTTACCTGAAATAGAAGAGAAGAGTAAACTTAAGTAATTATTCATGCATTTACGTTTCACGTTAAAACGAAAAATAATGATTTATTTCTGGATCAATGTCCAAATTTAATTTAGAACAGAACTCAACCCTCTGCATTAGGGGCCACATTTTTTTCAAGCCAGTCAGCATTTTTCTACTACTGAGCAGTTCCACACAGATTCGCAAATCGTTTTGGATCGACCTTTTACAATTATGATAAAACTTTGCTCAGTTGTTTGTTATTGCCCAACATGCCATTTTACATATATGGTTCCCTAGTTTTGCACACGACTAACACTTACAAAAGGGCTTATGCAAGAATGATACACATCAATAGAAAAATATATATCTAGTGAACGATGTGTTTGATCGAGATGGTGTCTTAGAAGAAGTTGCGGACAAGTATTGTGCCTTCCAAGAAAAAAAATATACACTGTAAAAAATTTAAAAAAAAATTACAAAAAAAAATCAAAATTATCAAAGAAAAATAATATTACCCAAATTGCATATTTTTTTAAAATTATTTTTAAAAATTTATTTTGTAGTGTAGATAAAGTTATACTTATTGACACTGTGTATTTGCTGAGCAAATCATAAATAAAAAAGTTATGAATTATTGAAAAAATAAGTATTTTCCAAAATACTACCGATAGTTATCGAATATCTTTGAAATAGTGTTAATAATAAAACACATTAAATGTACAATAAAAAAGCTCATATAGCTTAAATTGCCCAAAGTTGTTATTTTCGAGATACTCGTAGGTTAAATTTCACTTATCGCATAATTTGAGCAATTTTCGCTCTTTTGAGATGTTATTCGTGAGTGTTCAATCTTGATAGTATTTTTAACAAAAAGCCCAATTGATTTCCTTAAACTTTGCTGTTCACAGTTTTTCAATCATACGCATGAGTTAAGATAAAATTAATTAGCTAAACTTGCTAGCCGTATATGGGGCCAAACGGAAAAATACACTTTTCCCATACCGTCTCTAACTCATAATTAATTATATCGTATGATTGAAAAACTGTGGACAGCAAAGTTTAAAGAAATTAATTGGGCTTTTTGTTAAAAATACTCTCAAGATTGAACACTCACGAATAACATCTCAAAAGAGCGAAAATTGCTCAAATTATGCGATAAGTGAAATTTAACCTACGAGTATCTCGAAAATAACAACTTTGGGCAATTTAAGCTATATGAGCTTTTTTGTTGTACATTTAATGTGTTTTATTATTAACACTATTTCGAAGATATTCGATAACTATCGGTAGTATTTTGTAAAATACTTATTTTTTCAATAATTCATAACTTTTTTGTGTATGATTTGCCCAACAAATACACAGTGCCAATAGGTATTTCTTTACCTAAGCTACCAAATAAATATAAAACAAAAATATTTAAAAAAGATATGCAATTTGGGTAAACATCTCAAAAAGGCGAAAATTTCTTAAAATATTCGATCAGTGAATTTTAACCTACGAGTATCTCGAAAATAAAACTTTGGGCAATTTATGCATTATGAGCTTTTTTTGTTGTACATTTGATGTGTTTTAATATTAACACTATTTTAAAGATATTCGATAACTGTGGGTGGTATTTTGGAAAATACTTATTTTTTAAATAATTCATAACTTTTTTGTTTATGATTTGCTCAGCAAATGCACACTGTCAGTATGTAGTGCTTTATCTAAACTTCAAAATAAATAGAAAAAAATATTTAAAAAAAAAACATGCAATTTGAGTAATTTTAATTTTTTTTTTTTGATAATTTTGATTTTTGTTTGTAAAAAAAAATATAATATTTTACAGTGTATATTTTTTCTTGAAAGGCACAATACTTGTCCGCAACTTCTTCTAAGACACCATCTCAATCAAACAAATCGTTCGCAAGATATATGTTTTTTTTATTGATGCGTATCATTTTTGCATAAGCCCTTTTCAAGTGTTAGTCGTGTACACAACTAGAGAACCAAATATGTAAAATGGCATGTTGGACAATAACAAACAACTGTGCAAAGTTTCAACATAATCGTAGAAGGTCGATCAAAAAATTTAAAAAAAATCGTCATTTGAAATGGAACTGCTGTCTTGTAAAAATTATCATTATTTTACATGATCCACTTGTAAGTAAAGGTATTACCAAGTATTCAACCTGGAATCAACCCACGATTATAATCCTTCGAACTGGTACCAATAGATTATGCAGATAGGGGAAATGGCTCTAATGGCCTATGGATCTAAGATTGGATTTTATCTTGATGACCGCGTCATTGGGACGGTACTAATGGATATTTTTGGTCGCTATTGAACATTTAGTCGATTGATGAATTTATGCATGCCATTACATCCATTTTCCTACTAGATAAAAATCACGTTTGACAGAATTGAATCTCTTGCCTTTTGTGACTGCACTTTTCGTCATATGGAGTCCTTCCCGAGCAGGACAAAGTAACTAATGAATACCTAATTCTGACCTGATACCACAGTTGGGTTCTTTAAGGGTATTGAGGTAAATGCATATTCGTAATCTGCATTAAAAACCCAAAATTTCATCAATTTCGGACAGTGATGGGCAAAACACCGGTACAGCTCTGGTACGGATTTCTAAATCATAACCAATGTGCTGATCTGTTGTACCGAGTGTTTGGTGCTGCTTTCGGTTCGGTTTGGTAGTTGCAAGCAACACCGCACCGTGTTCACCAGTTCGCTGCACACGGTGCGGTTCTGATTTTGTACCGGTGTTCGTGTTCACAAGGATGATGTTTTGAATTCAAGAACCAGTCCGGTACTATGTATGTTTATATGCGTGGTGCGCATTATTCAGAATTGCCAGTGATGGCAGATAACTAAACAGAATTTGTATATGATGAATACAATAAAACTGTGAATTCAAATGATGTATTACGCAATGTGGCAACTTGGATTGGCGGCTTCCGGTTATAGGAAAACTGGGAAATACCTTCAATATGGGTATTTTTGGAATCAGGATGACGTAAATATACCGGAAATCAATATCTGACGCCATTTTGAAATCCAAGATGGCGGCTTCCGGTTATAGAAAAACTGGGAAATAATGCCAAATATCCTTCAATATGGCTATTTCCGGAATCAGGGTGACGTCTTGAGACCGGATATCAATGTCCTACGCCATCTTAAAATCCAATATGGCGGCTTCCGGTTGTAGAAAAACTGGGAAATAATGCCAAATATCCTTCCATATGGGTATTTTCGGCATCAGGATGACGTATATATCCCAGAAATCAATATCTGGCGCCATTTGCAATCCAAGATGATCAGTGAATCAAACAGTGAAGCTATTATTTTGCTTTAAATCTTGATTTAAAAATCGAGCTGAAAGTGTGAGGGTTCGAAAAAAAATATCGCTGTGCTCACAAAACGAAGCTCTTTCAGATGATATATAAAAACCGATATAATTTTCAAAAATAAAGAACCCAATTTGGTGCTGACCAGCATGGCATAAGAGGTAAAATACCAAAAAAAAGCATGCAAAATACTTTGTACATAACAATGCACAGTGGTCCAGAATGCAGATTTAGGTGGAATGATATGTTGAGCCTGAAATTGAAACTTAAGACTAAAAATCTATTCTACAAAGTTGTTCCTTATAGTTAGGCCCTCATTTTTATGACAATGAGTTCTAGGGTGGTTCCTTTTATCATTAAAATCAAAAATCTATGAAGAGCTTTGAGTGAGTTGGTTTATTTCCTTTAAATTCCGTTAGAATTGCTTATCTTTTGACAGATACGCGTATTTCGTCTACTACTTGCAAACTTTATCAGTGGCAAGTACTCAACACCACTGAAGAATCCACCTTTTATATACGAGTTATATACTAATCAATAGGTGCTTAAAAATCAACAGGTATCCACTGCCATGTCAAAATTTACCTAAACAGGTACCTAAATTCAGTCTCCAACCGGTAGATGCCTGCTACGATGCGTTGTTTTAGGTAGCATGCTAAAGAGTCTCGAGTATCCGCGTTTCCTTGATCTCTATTAAGCAATGTTGATGGATTATGTTTAAATATTTCTAAACTTTCAGCTACGTCTAGTTTCCAAGGCGAAAATACAGTCCGCAGGATATTGATGTTATCCTTAGTCAAATGGTGCCCCTTTGTAACGATATATTCTGCAACCTTGGATTTAAATTAGTAATGAAGTCCTTTATCCATCTCTTTGTTAGCCTTTTTTACCTCTGCGATGTGTTCCTTAAACCTTGTTTCCAAAGTCCTTTTCGTCTGACCAATGTAGATTTTATTGCAATCTGGACAAGAGATTTTGTAGACTCCGGCTTTCCCTAAGACATTTATTGAATCTTTAGTTGATCCTAACAGTGACTTCAGCTGATTTGTCCTACTGCTGAATACTAAATCTAGGCCAAAACTTCTAAACTTTGAAATCAATGGTTTGGTAATATATTTGTCGAAATTCACCGCTACCCGTTTTAAACCCTCAGTTACTGGTGTAAGAGTTAATGAAATACGCCTAAAATGATCCCTTGTTCTTTTATCGATTAAACCAACCCACTCAAAGCTCTTCATAAAGGGATTCCGTTAAGAGTTTCGACAAATTTAAAGGATTCAAAAATCTTTTTTATTTGAAATTTCTCTTGAAAGTCATCTTCTAGAGACTTTTAAAACTCTTTAAGACGAATGTTTTATAGCGATATTTGTTGTCTGTATCTCTTCTAATAAAAAAGATATACTCAAATATAGTAAAAAATATGAACAAATTCAAATTTTATATGAGTTTATAAAATAACATACCTCCAATTTTTTCATGTTACACTGGAACCTCCATTTACGAACCAAAACGGGGGTTCGTAAATCGAATTAGTGCGTAAAAAAAACCTCGTTATTTGGGATTTACTTCGTAAAAAGAAAACTCGTTACTTGGGATTTACTTCGTAAAAAGAGGTTTTTGAAAATATTGTCAAATACCCCACAATATGGGTATTTTTGGAATCAGGGTGACGTGTATGGACCGGAAATCGATGTCTGACGCCATTTTGAAATCCAATATGGTGGCTTCCGGTTACAGAAAAACTTCAAAATTCTGTCATATACCACACAATATGGGTATTTTTGGAATCGGAGTGACGTGTAGGGACCGGAAATCGATGTCGGACGCCATTTTAAAATCCAAGATGGCGGCTTCCGGTTACAGGAAAACATGGAAATTCTGTCAAATACCCCACCATATGGCTATTTTTGGAATCGGAGTGACGTGTAGGGACCGGAAATCGATGTCTGACGCCATTTTTAAATCCAAGATGGTGGCTTCCGGTTACAGGAAAACATGGAAATTCTGTCAAATACCCCACAATATGGGTATTTTCGGAATCGGAGTGACGTGTAGGGACCGGAAAGCGATGTCTGACGCTATTTTTAAATCCAAGATGGCGGCTTCCGGAAACAGAAAAAAATGGAAATTCTGTCAAATACCCCACAATATGAGTATTTTTGGAATCGGAGTGACGTTGAAGGACCGGAAATCGATGTGTGGCACCATTTTTATATCCAGGATGGTGGCTTCCGGTTACAGAAAAACTTCAAAATTCTTTCAAATACCCCACAATATGGGTATTTTTGGAATCGGGGTGACGTGTAGGGACCATAAATCGATGTCTGACGCCATTTTGAAACCCAACATGGCGGCTTCCGGTTACAGGAAAACAGAAAAATACCGTAAAATACACAACAATATGGATATATTTTGAATCTGGTTGACCTGTGAGAACCGAGAATCCATGTCTGACGCCATTTCGAAATCCAAGATGGTGACATCCGGTTACAGAAACACTGGGAAAAACTGTCAAATACCTAACAATATGGGTTGTTTGGAATCGGGGTGACCTATTAGGACTGAAAACTTATGTCTGACGCCATTTTGAAATTCAATATCGCAACTTCCGGTTATATAAAAACATAAAAGTAATATTACATAACCTACAATATGGGTATCTTAAGTATAGGGGTAACGTGGTGGTATTTGCCAATTTTTCTGTAACCGGAAGCTGCCATCTTGGATTTCGACATGACTTCAGATATCGATTTCCGGTTCTTAGACGTCACTCCATTTCCAAAAATACCCATATTGTGGGGTGTATGATAGAATTTCCAAGCTTTTCTGTTACCGGAAGCCGCCATATTGGATTTCACAATGGCGTCAGACATCGATTTCCGGTCCCTAAACGTCACTCCGATTTCAAAAATACTCATATTGTTTGGTGTTTGGCAGAATTTCCATGTTTTTATGTAACCGGAAGTTGCATCTAGGATTTCAAAATGGCGTCAGACATTGATTTACGGTCCCTAAACATCACTCCGATTCCAAAAATACCCATATTATGGGGGTATTTAGCAGAATTTCCAAGTTTTTCTGTAACCGGAAATCGCCATTTTGGATTTCAAAATGGTGTCAGACATTGATTTTCGGTCCCTACACGTCACTCCGATTCCAAAAATCGGCAAATATTGTGGGGTATTTGGCAGAATGTCCAAGTTTTCCTGTAACCGGAAGCCGCCATCTTGGATTTTAAAATGGCGTCAGACATCGATATCCGGTCCCTACACGTCACTCCGATTCCAACAAAACCCATATTGTGAGGTATTTCACAGTATATCCCAGTTTGCCAAAATCACAAAAAAACTCGTGTAGGCGCTTACCAGTGGTTTTCCTACGTTGTGTTTTGGTCTTCCTCTGTGCGGTAGCAGCACAGGTAATGTGGGAGAAGTTTCTCTTTCCTTTCAGGTACAGCAGTCGCACGAGCACAAGAAACCGGGAGATTCCAGCGGGACAGGTACGCGATGAAGGTTCACTTTATACTTTTATACACTTCACTTTATTTCCACTCAACACTTTTATTTAGGATCTTAATTATCACACTACAAAAACGGGACTAACTGATCGATGGCGAGTATGGGAAAGTTAACACCTCAATTCGTTGCCTTCGGGTTTATTCGTGCCTGTGTTGCTAGTTTCATCCGGCGAAATTCTAATTATGTCGACCTAATTGCAGTGAGCATCACAAATGAGGAAAGTTGCATGCAAGTGATACTCAAAACTAGTTCATGTTGATGAGTGTTTCAACATACCCGCCACCTTGAATGATTATGTCGTTCAATAAACGTCAACAGAAAAAGGCTTACGTCAACAGCAATAATCTAACAACTTTACAATTCTAATTGAGCATTACAGGTGAGTATGAGTTATTTTAGATTCAAAGTGTTTTTTTATGTTACTTCATACGCGAAGTTAACGATTTTCAGAGTTGGTTGGAAATGCTAACATGAAGCTTTAGTGTGATGATTTATTAGCTAGAGAAAGATCTTTAGAAGAGGGTAGGTGGATAGTTCCGTTAGAGTACGGCAGTATGAAAATTGAATAGAAGTTGAAAATGAGCGAAGGGCCATTAAAGCGACAGTTTACAAGATAGACGCACATTTTTGCCTAGCCCGTACGATGTTCGCGGGGACTTGAAGTATGTCTCCAAGTCCACAGGCAAAAATGTGCGTCCCTCTTGTTGCTCATAAACTGACTGCGGCTGTGGAATAGTTCTAGCGACGTTTTCATCACTACCTAAAGCCCCACGTTTGCGAGAGCATTTCCAGTCGATGGTGTGGTGGTGCACGCAACAACCACCCTACTGCTTTCTCTCTGAGATGATCACGTTGGTCATGACGAGAGGAGCAACACAATAGTTGGGTAAAGAAGAACTGCATTATAACACACCATCGACTGGAAATGCTCTCGCAAACGTGGGGCTTTAGGTAGTGATGAAAACGTCGCTAGAACTATTCCACAGCCGCAGTCAGTTTATGAGCAACAAGAAGGACCGGACGATGACGTGAGCACCGGAAGCAGTTCCTGACGATGCTTTTGACCAGATTTCTGCCATTGAGAGGCCAGTATTCTTCGCGTATCGTGGACAGCAGAAGACGCCCGCCACCGTGGAGAAGTTGACGGTGGTAATGCTCAGCGATCAGCCTGGAGAACGGATGATTCTTAGGGAGGAGGGCAGGGTGTTTCGATTGGTAAGGAAGCTGCGAAAGATTGAGCCGACCACCAACGCGCATGATTCCCATTGGATCCAAAAATGGGTTTAGGCGTCGAGTGAACGAATGCTTCGGAACTGGATTTCCTCGTTGCAGCTCCCTGATTTCTTCCTTAAACGCATCTTGTTGGGCCAAACCGACAAGGAGTGTATTGGCATTGGCAAGCTCTTGGACGGTAAGTATTTCTGGGCGAATGTGGCTCTCTTGGGGGGATGCAAGTGGCTGGGTTCTGGCTTTAGAACAAGTTCTGCTTGCGAAGCGAAGGCAGTAACCGATTGTGTGTAACAGTCGTGTGTACGATGACCACCGCAGAAACCATGGATTAATGCTGGGTATGGTTTGAACTGATACGACAACGACCTTTTCTTCCTCAGGTGCGGTGACTGCATGCGAAATTGGCCAAGTATGCTGAGGATGCGCCAACCAGGCTGGGCCATGCTTCCAAACTTCGCTGCTGATAAATTCATCGACCGACATCCCACGAGACACTAGATCGGCCGGGTTTTCCGTTCCAGATATGTGATTCCATCTTCCTCCATGGGTATAGTGCTGTACTTCAGACACTCTATTCGCGACAAATGTCTTCCATGTGCTCGGTGGTGCGCGCAGCCAGTACAGACACACCGCTGAGTCGGACCAGAAGTACGATGCCGCAACGTGTACGCCGATAGACTCCTTCACGCGATGATGTAGATGCGCCGCTAATACGCAAGCACATAGTTCTAGCCGGGCGATGGACAGCCGTTTCAAAGGAGCGATCTTGCTTTTCGAAGCTAGTAATCTTATTTTCACTGTTCCCAGGGTGTTTATACAGCGAACGTATACGCATGCTCCATAGGCAGTTGTCGAGGCATCGGCGAAGGTGTGTAGTTCCACGCTGGCGTCTGGTAGGAATGCGTAACGGTCAACTCTGTAGACGGAGATCTTCGGTAGCTCGTTCCGAAACTGTTCCCACTTCACTCGAATGGCATTTGGCACCGGATCATCCCACTCACAGGCAAGCGACCACAACTCCTGCATGAGAATTTTTGCTTTGACGACGACTGGTGCAATTAGACCAAGAGGATCGAACAATCTGGCGATGTCAGATAGGATGGATCGTTTCGTGGGAGGGTCATCGCGTGTCTGCACTTGAGAATCGAAGCGAAGTTGATCCATCTCCGGTTCCCAACGAATGCCCAGTGTCTTGATGGTTTCGTTTGGGCTGAATTGCAGACTTGATTGCGTTCCGATCTGGTTGCTTTCGAGGCCTTGAAGAACTTCTAAACGATTTGAGGTCCACTTCCTCAGTTCGAATCCTCCTTTGTTGAGTAGTTCAGATAGCTCCCCCCGAAGCTGGATAGCTTCCTCGACCGTATTAGCACCTCCGATGAAGTCATCAACATAGAAGTTCTTGCGAAGCGATGGACCACCCAAAGGATACGCATGGCCTTCGTCCATTGCGAGCTGTTGGAGCGTACGGGTTGCCAGAAAGGAGGATGGAGCTAAGCCGTAGGTTACGGTTCGCAATTCGTACGTTTGGACGGGAGTATTCTTGTCAAAACGGAACAGTATGAGCTGTAAAGGACAATCTTGGGGATGCAGTAGCATTTGTCTATACATTTTTGCGATGTCTCCGACGAGTGCAACAGGATAGGTAAAAAATCGCAAAATTATTGAAAGAAGGTCATCTTGGACCACTGGACCCACACATAGGGCTTCGTTCAATGAGAAGCCAGTCGAAGTACGAGCCGAACCGTCAAAAACGACTCTGACCTTGGTGGTCGTGCTTTCTTCTTTTATAACGGGGTGGTGGGGTAGATAGTAAATGTGTGAGCTTGATCCGTCGTCCGTCTCGACCAGTCGCATATGGCCGAGGGAGAGGTACTCTTTCATGAAACTTTGGTACTCTTCTTTCAATTGCGGATCCCGATCCAGTCGTCGCTCGAGCTGCTCATAACGCCGAAGAGCGCTGAACTTGGACTCTCCAAGCATCGCATCGAAGTCAGGCTTCCGTGGCAGGCGGACGATGTAACGACCTGTGTTGTCCCTAGTCGTTGTGGATTTATAGAAGTCCTCGCAATGGCGTTCTTCAATGGAGTAATTGTCGCCGACCGTTAGTTCCTCAGTTTTCCAGAACCGCTCCATATTCTCCTCAAGGGTCATCATTGATACTGCGACAACGCTGGGAGCGGCGCACTGTTGTTGAGCGGGATGAGTCGTGCTAGCAGATCCCGTGACGACCCAGCCGAATACGCTGTCTACCATAATCGGAAGATTGTTGGCCAACTGAAGACGAGCAGTGCTTGGGAAGAAAGAGTGGAAATGCTTGGCACCCAGAACCATATCAATCTGTTGGCTCTTGTTAAACGAGGGGTCGGCCAATTCTAAATTCTGCGGAATCTTCCATTCCTTCACTGCGATGTCCTGTGCCGGGAGATCTGCAGTAACTGTATCCATCAGCAGAAAATCCACGCCGCATTCAAAATTATCGTTTCTCGATTTTATCCGAGCGTAGATAGACTCACGAACCTTTTTCGATAAATTTCCAGCCCCCTGGATGGTAACGTTCACGGGCTCCCTCCTTAGGCGCAGCCTGCGTGCAAAGCGATCAGTTAGGAGGTTCGGCTGACACGCGCTATCGAGTAAGGCACGAGCTAGATGGTCCTGACCGTACGCATCGATGACCTTCACCAGTACCGTCAGAAGAAAGACATCTTCACGAGGCTGTGGAGCAGATGCAGTGACAACGACCCGGGGAACGACTTGAGTGGCTGCAACAGTGGATTGAGGAACCATTTCTGCTGTTGAGCGAGTGCTGGACTGGACAGCTTGAGTATGCGTAGACGTACGAGTTGAGGATGATTCGTTGGTTTGCCTAAAAGTTTCGCTGGAGTGCAGCATGCTATGATGCCGTTTGTTACAGCGCTTGCAGTTGAAATTCGACGGACAGTTGCGAGCAATGTGATCACCTTTTAGACAATTGTGACACAGGTGCTTATTCGAGACGAGCTGCAGTCGTTCGGATACGGAGAAGCGGTTGAATTTCAAACATTTCATCAGTGGATGTTCCTGGTTGCAGGCCGGACACTTATTAGCAGAGCTGGAAGTGGAAGCATATGATGACAGACGTAAGTGAGACTGCCTTTTGGGAGCAGAAGTGGAGCCAGACGGAAAGGACGTTGGCTGGTGATGGTTCACCAGAATGGACTCCAATACTCGCATTCGCCGCTGCAGGAATTCAATTAGACAACCGTAGTCTGGTTGGTTGTTGATCGAAGCGTGATCCTCCCAGGCTTTAAGCGTATCATCAGGAAGTTTCGTGCATAGGAGGTGCTCTAGAATGCTGCTCCAAGATTCAGTCGGCTCTCCTAGCTGGCATAAGATTTTCGTATGTCGCTGGAAGTCGTCGACCAGCGCGTGCAGCGATGCAGCGGTTTCCTTTCGTACGGATGGGATGTCGAACAACGCCTGTAGATGTCGCTTCTTCAGTAGATAATCGTTTGCGTACCTGTCGACGAGAGTTTGCCAAGCCAAGCTGTAATTAACGGAGCTGATCGCGATGGATTCAATCAGCTGCACCGCTTCACCCTTTAGAGCTGCCCTTAAGTAGTGGAATTTTTGGATCTCTGGTACATCGTTGTTAGAGTGGATCAATGCCAAGAACGTATCGTGAAACCCTAGCCACTGCATGTAGTCCCCATCAAACTCAGGTAGCGAAATAGTCGGCAATTTTAGCCCAGAGAGAACGGAAGCATGCGAACCAGATTCAGGGATGCGAGCAGGTTGATTAAGAACAGGTAACTTCGAAATTAAATCGGCTTTTATTGTAAATAGCCGAGGCTCAAAATTGGCACGGACGGCACGATGGAATTGCCTACCTTCTTCCGTCTCCTCTCGATCCTCCAGCTGCCCCTGCACCTCCTCCAGAGCAGCCCACATGCTGTTGAAATACTCGAGTCGAATAGGTACCTGTGGCCGATCACGTTGTTCGTCGTAGGCCTCTATGAAAGCCTCTGCCCGACCCAAAGCGTCCAGCATGGTGGTCCTCCTCGACACCAACGTTGCCAGGTTCTGCGGAAGCGCCATTTTGTTTGCAGGAAACGGCGTACGATTCGCACTGGTGGTAGTTGTGGGATCTGTCGAACAAAAAGACCACGGTAGACCTGGAGGGCCCGAAATATTAACTTGGAATGGTACTCACCGATTCCAAGGCAAGATAATGCCTTGAATTTTAAAGAAACAGCAAGCCGGAACGAGTTTACACACTGCTGGTGTTGGTCGAGCCCGATGTCGATCGAAATCCACCGAAAAGTGGCGTAGCAAGCGTGGTCGTACGATCACTGTTCCATGCAATGAATGCACAGCAGGAACAATGCCGATAGTTTTAACAATGCGTGAATTCTTCTAGAAAGAAGCCGGATGGCCGGAATGCAATGGCGGAATGGCGTGGCTTGGGTAGCAGCTTCTACCCCTTGCTTCAATGGCGATGAACGGGATGGCGTCGTCCAATTGATGTGCTCCAAACGGCTTGGCAGCAATCGAAAATGCCCGTTCGTACATGCAAAAGAAACAGGAATCTAAAGCGTACCTGCGAAACCCCGGAAGAAACAATTGGACTAATCACCTGCTGCCCGATAGATCGAGCCTTGTATGTATTCAATCCGCCGCCAGCAGTATGGCGGGAGCAAAATGGCAGCGCCCAGTAGATCGTCCCACGTGCTTCGACGGATGCTGGATCCGGGACGGTGTCGACGATCCTGGTCACGGCACCAAATTTATGTAGGCGCTTACCAGTGGTTTTCCTACGTTGTGTTTTGGTCTTCCTCTGTGCGGTAGCAGCACAGGTAATGTGGGAGAAGTTTCTCTTTCCTTTCAGGTACAGCAGTCGCACGAGCACAAGAAACCGGGAGATTCCAGCGGGACAGGTACGCGATGAAGGTTCACTTTATACTTTTATACACTTCACTTTATTTCCACTCAACACTTTTATTTAGGATCTTAATTATCACACTACAAAAACGGGACTAACTGATCGATGGCGAGTATGGGAAAGTTAACACCTCAATTCGTTGCCTTCGGGTTTATTCGTGCCTGTGTTGCTAGTTTCATCCGGCGAAATTCTAATTATGTCGACCTAATTGCAGTGAGCATCACAAATGAGGAAAGTTGCATGCAAGTGATACTCAAAACTAGTTCATGTTGATGAGTGTTTCAACAACTCGTTATTTGGAATATACTTCGTAAAAAGAAAATTCGTTATTTGGGATTTACTTCGTAAAAAGAGGGACGTAAATTGAATACTGCGTAAAAAAGGACTTCGTAAACGGAGGTTTCAGTGTATTGAGAATAACATACGCCTTTTAAAATGCCGATTTTTTTTTTTTGCCCCAACCAGAGATATTAACATTTGAAAGTGCATATATTTAGTATAAAAACGTCAATAATCTCGATCGGCGAAAGATATTGACAAACTTTCTGCAGCAAAACTTTGCGCCTTCTTAAGATCTAAAAGTTATTTCAAGACACATTTGCTGAGAAATTCGAAATAAGAAAATTAGAGCAAAACAACTGTTTTTTAGAGCCACCCTAACTAAATTCAAGAAAATAGCTCTAAATCGGCCAATTTAAGAGATACAGAAAAGTTTTTTTCAACAAAGTTGCTTGAAATTAGCTCAGATTTAACTTTGCCCAAAAATGTATACCTTAATTTATTCAAACAAAAAAGTTAGATTTCTTTATTTTAATGATAATAGGAACCACCCTAGAACACATTGTCATAAAAAATGAGAGCCTAACTATAAGGAACAACTTTGTAGAAGAGACTTCTAGTCTAAAGTTTCAATTTCAGGCTCAAAACATATCATTCCACCTAAATCTGTATTCTGGACCATTGTTCAATGGTGGTATTTTTTTTGGTATTGCATTTGCTTCATTTGGTATTGGAATGGTATGATGGGAATTTTTTTTTTGGTTTAATTCTTTTGGTATTTTACCTCTTATGTCAGGCTCATCCATACCAATTTAAGGTATCGAGATATTCGTGCTTATCCCGAGCAGGATCGAATATCTCGATACCTCAAATTGGTATGAATAAGCCTGACATAAGAGGTAAAATACCAAAAAATAATACCGAAAAGTAAATGTCCAGCCGAAGCTAGGACAATAAAACCGAAAAAATGTTCTCACAATACCATTCAAATACCAAATTATGAAATTGCAATACCAAAACAATACCACACAGGTATTCTTTTGGTATCCAAATATCAATTTTTGTTATGTACAAAGTATTTTGCATGCAATTTTTTGGTATTATTCTTTGGTATTTTACCTTTTATGTCATGCTGATCAATACCAAATTTTGGTATCAGATCAAAATTAGGTATTCATTAGTTATTTTCTCCTGCTCGGGTTGTTGTGCCAATTTGGTCGTGGCACATTTCGAGTATAAGAGAGTGATTGCAGTTAGATCAAAAGTACCTGAGAAAAATGCAAGTACTTTCGTGGATTACCCTATGTTGCGATAATGAAGGTATGATCACAGACAAGCAGACATAACATGCTTAAGATGTTCATAGAAATCGCTTTGAACGGTCCATTTAAATGTTTCTTAGTTGATATTACTGCCACTTGTGGCGCACATAATCAATTTCCTTGCGTTTGACGTTTATACACTACAGCCATCTGTTGAGTGTATGGCCCATCACAGTGTATACGACAGATATCGGTAGGGTTTACAATAATAAATGTTCAATGTGTTGTGTCTGTTCGTTTGAGGTAACTTTAGAATAAAATCAAAACATTGAGAAATGTAATGCATCACTTTCCTGAATACTTCACTTTCCAATCGATTAACCATTTTGACGGCCATATGAGTACCCAAGTAACCATTTAGTCGCAATAACGGGTGTTCAATAAAAAATGAGAATGATTTCAGTGCCGTCCAGCGCTCTTGTGAGAGCATCGTGACTCAGTTGCGTCGTACGGCTGACCAGGGCCCCTTTTCCAATATTCATTGACGTTTTTTTTTTTTGAAGAATAAACATTATTTTTTTAATGAAAAATACTCAATTCGTTGAAAAAAAAACTTTTTTATAGCTATATGACTGAAAAAATTAACATTTTTTATTGAACAACCGTTATAGTGTTACTCCTTTCTATACCCTCCTTCAATTCAAACGAATAAAGGAAAGCTCACAGGGTCGTTTCATGTTTACTCTCTCTGACACTGCACCTTCTAGCATAAAGAAGAAACATGAACAACATGAACGCTAAAAGGTTCATTAGGGTTGAATCCAACTAGATACATTAGTTTCACCAAATCTAACCTCGGAAAGATTTCAGAAAGCGAGGGGTGGGAAATTCCAGCATTGGGTGAATTTTCATCGTCGAAACACGAATAACTCAGAAATGTGTGAAATTCTAGAAATATCTACTTCTTAATAAATCAACAAAGCTGTAATGTGTAATTTAGAAATCATGCCTCGATACTTGAACATTTATTTTGATGGTTTACAACATACAAAATCCTACGTGATCACGTGTTTTATCTGTTTCCTTTTTACTATACATGTCAACTAACTTATGTGTTTTGTCTTCGTACTATTCTGTTCTTGCATGCTCATTTGTGTTTTAATAATTGGACCAGCGCGACTTACGGTTTTGGTGGTGGGACTGTGGTGGTAGTGATGATGGTGACTTACGGTGGTGGTACCGACTATCGGTGACGGTGGCTTACGGTTTCGGTGGTGATGGTGATGGTGGCTTTTGGTGATGGTGGCTTACGGTGATGGTGGCTTACGGTGGTTTTAGGCGTTATGATGGCATCCTTGAATGGCGACTAACAATGACCACAGCAATGGTTTCCCTGATCCCTGAGCGTCGATCTGACTACAATGGACTTATTGTCTATTGCATCGCCATTTTGATAACGAACGTGGATCCACAACTTGGACGTCGAGAATTTCCCGCTTCTGCCGTTGTCTCCAAGGGAGTACACGCAGGGTTGATTTCTGGCTCCGGGAATCGTATAGCGTTCACGTGTGTCCAAGTTGGGAGTAGAACTGGAAATAAATGTCCGATTTGTGCACAACGGACGGAAAAAGGCCTAGTCAGGCCTATTAAAACAGGCATTAGTCCCAACCACACACATACACCATAATTTCCGCGTCGAATTGGAAATCTTAACCATACAAAACTTTACCTTTTTCCGATCTTCAACGTGTAAGACCCGCTTAACGGAAAGGGACCACGTTGGCTTTGTTTTACACAGAACCTTAAATAAGGTAACAATAACAATTAGTTTATACACTACTAACAAATAACGCGCACTACTAACTATCTCGAAGTCTTGAGCCAGATAGAAAGAATTGGTTAGACGGCGGTATTTAGAAGGTTCTTGGGGCTTCCTTGAATTGGGAATTCCTTGAATTGAATCATATTCCTTTTTTATGCTGCATTTACAGTGTAAGAATAATGAAAGTCTAATTAGGTCGACTACTGAATGAACACCGTCTACTGACACATAGGTGGCAGCACTACTTTGCATAAGGTAAGCTGTTTTTAAAGGAGGTGGTGCACTTGGCGAAACTAATGCAAATCGATTTAAGAAACCAACGGTTACAATAGCTTGTATTCACTTACTTTGCTTGAGTATGGTTAGTTGGGGAATCTGATGAAACTATCATTTCTTGAAACTAATCCCTTTCGTATTCCATTCATTATGCCAGATGACCATGGCAATACAGTAACAGATGGTGGACATGAGATCGACCACATCAATCAGCGAGGAAGAGTTAACATCGGGTATCAGGTACGGAAATGAGTGCAGATTTATCACCCTTGGAAAACAAGAAACATCCGGATAAGGCGGAATCAAGCTATCACCGTCTATCTCCAAACTAAAGCTGTCTACAATGTTCATAAATGCGGCATTGTAGAGAGAGAGAGTTCTTCCATAATAACACTGCCAGCCAGTGGAGGTTAGAAGGAATACTCATACATATAGAGCACAAGAAGAGTACTCTTTGATTTAAACTCTTTTAGGTGTTATTGTCTCAAAAACTGAAAAGTCACGCAAATAGCAATTT